CGCTGAGCCTGCGCGTCCGGAGCCTGTGCTCCACAACGGGAGAGGCCACAGCAGTGAGAGGCCCGCGTACCGCAAAAACAAAAAAACAAACAAACAAAAAAGAGTAGAGGTTTCAATATGGCTTCATGGCTGGGGTTTCTTCCTTCAGGAGGTGTAGGCATTTTGGAAACAGACAAAAGCACAACGTTAAAAAAAAAAAATGTGGCTACACTTTCCAAAGGATCAGTTGAACTAGAAGGGAGCATAAGCATCTCACACTGATTGGTGCTGCTGCTGCTGAGGACAGCGATCTCAGTTTTTTCCTTGGAGGAACCTGGACGTTTCTTGGAGATACGCACATCTGGATAGGCTGCGAACTAGTCGTGTAAATAAGAACTAGCCCCATGCTCCTGTCCAAAAAGAAATCTAAAGAGGCTGGTTGAGATTTGCTGAGCAGGTCTTAAAGAAGCTGGACATCATCTGTCTTTCTTTGTGCTCACCTTTGTTGTTTATTTGATTTCTTTTCATAGGAATCTGTATCATCACTCCAACATGTGCAAAAACACCAGCCCTCGCGTCTAACCATATTTACTTCTCAGCTCTTGTCATACAGTTAGAGCTGGGAAACGAGTGTCGAACATGTTATAACTCCCTGTGTGCTAAACGCTGCACCACCAACAGAGGCAAAGTCTGGGACTCAGGGTGGAGGGGCTTGTTTGGGGCTGTAACCTCCATGGAGAGGCCCTGGCTACACTTTGAACACTGGCTGTAACCCACAAAAAGACAAAGTAACATTTGCTTTGTGCTTTGTTGCGTGTTAGAAATTATAATTTAGAAATTATTATCAAACATTAAAACACAATTGAGGCTTCTCTGGTGGCGCAGTGGTTGAGAGTCCGCCTACCGATGCAGGGGACACGGATTCGTGCCCCGGTCCGGGAGGATCCCACATGCCGCGGAGCGGCTGGGCCCGTGAGCCATGGCCACTGAGCCTGCGCGTCCGGAACCTGTGCTCCGCAACGGGAGAGGCCGCAACAGTGACAGGCCCGCGTACCGCAAAAAAAATAAATGAATAAATTTAAAAAACACAATTGAAAATCCAACTCTTCCACGTGTGTGAGAATGTGGACTAGTTTTCTCCACTTTGAGTCTGTCAACTTTTTCGTGTATTTAAAAATACATTTATTTTTAGTTTCTTCACAGCTTGCTTTCAGAGATTAGCTAGCTTTCAGATATCGTTTTCTCCAGGTGGCTTCTAATCTTGCAAACTCTCAGAATAAACTCATCCTGTAGTAATTAAGGCCGTGAAAGGAGATGGTAGCATCTCATGTTCACCAAGTTGTCAGCTTCTCTAGTAAGAAAACCAGTCTCAAAGGCAGCCCACTCTGTACTATGTTGACCTTTTTAAAGGAACCAAGATGTTCATCATTGAATTATTATCCCCTGGGACCACTGTTTGACAAAAACGTTTTAAAAAGGAAAATTGGTGTTTTCAGGGTCAGTTCTCCAACCTTAAACATCATTTTTTAGTCAATATCAAATCCCCTTTAGAGATGGAAGGTGACCTCATCAGCAACCCACTGAGATTGAAGTTCAGCATATTCTTCCAGAAAATATGGATCTGGCTCTTGGCTTTCTACCAGTGATCTAACCCTGATGGCTGTATTAAAACGCACACACACACACACACACACACACACACACACACACACACACACACAAAGGATTTGAAGAGCCTTGTTTCATGCTGGGAAAGCACTTCAACTTAGGGCCATGCACTTAATCAAAATGCTCTGTCTTGGTACAGGGATTATAGGTTTAATTTCAAAGAGATATCCAAAGAGCCCCACTGATTATCTGGGAAACTTCCAGACATGTTCCGCTGTTGGTAAAAACATGACAGGGCAGCCTCTTGATAACTCTGGTCCCGGGGGGACAAGACTAAGGTCCATGCTTCAGAGTCAGATTCTAGATCTGTGGTTCTCACACTTGAACGTGCACCTGAATCACCTGGAGGCTTTGTTAAAACATGGGCTCCACCCTTGGAGTTATTTGGAGTAGATCTGGGGTGGAGCCTGAGAATATGAGTTTCTCCCAAGCTCCAAGATGTTGCTGTTGTTGACCACACTTTGAGAACCACTGACCTAGAGCTTGGGCAGGTGATGCCCATCAGTGATTAAAGGAAGTCAACTGGGTGATGTCAGAGCCTGGAACTAGATGCACCCAGGGATCAAGGAGACACAACGTGACAGGGGAAGTCAAGTAGCAAAAATGAGTGGAGAATCTGGAAAGAAGATGAACAAGCACTGAGATATCACATCTGCTAAGGCAGCTCACACCAGTGATGAGGAAACCTGAAGGAAGAGGTTCTCGGCAGGCCAATGGGGGTTTAGCAGAGGGATAGGAGACCTCAAGGCTCAGGTCACCCAGCTTGGGGTAAGGAAAGGTCTCCAAGTCCAAGGGGACAGTGGTAACAGCAGTGCTGGGGCCTAGTCCTTAGAGACTTGGAGAAACCCAACAGATTACCAGAAAAGAATTCAATGTAATGTTTAGGATAACTCTTGCTGATGTAATAAATCTCTGAGTCACAGCGATGCAACTCATAAGAGTTTATCTATTATTGCTCTCCTACATGTCGAACCAAGTATTCTTAATTGGTAGGCAGCTCCCCTCCAAGTAGTGACTCAGTGACCCAGGCACTGTCCAACTTGTGTCTCTGCCATCATCAAACATGACTTTTAAGGTCACTGATGAGAGGGGAAAGCATAGAGAATCACACACAGGAGGCTTGTAATGGGCAAGACCTGAAAGGGATGCATGGCTTCTGCCTAAAATCCACTGTCAGGAATTGATCACATGGCCCCATTAACTCAGCAAACCTGGCCGTGTATCCAGCTAGCTATGTGTCCAGGAGGAAGAAGAAACAGGTATGGCGGCCAGCTAGGCAGTCTCTGCCACACTCAGGTACAGGGGAGCAAGCAGAATTATGGGTATTATAATTCAGTCATGTAAAGGATGTTCTCCACCAACCAATGTAATGCCACTGAATGTTCTAGCTGGGGACCTTAGCTCATTCAGTCTGTCTCATCTCTGAACTGGTCCTGCAGGTGGGGGGCAAAGAGCAACGCAGAGTCTGCCAGCCAGACAGGACCTAGAGACCAACCATGGATTACCGGCTTTTACTGAATATACTTGAGGGAGGTTGTGGTCTCTGAACTCAAACCTCTCTCAGCTAAAAACATCGTATCAAGGAACATAGTCATGTTCTGCAGCTACCAAAGAAGATAAATGCTTATCCATATTATATCTTTCGAATGAACCCATCCAAAATTTCCTGGAGAAACCAGTTCGTGTTCCAAATGTGAGTGCACATTTCTTGCTTTGGGTGTATTCTTAGAATTTGGTTGTACTGTTTGGAAATATTAATTGAGCAAGCCTACCACTGACCGTCCCCTGTTTAGCACATTTAGGGAAGATGGTCAAGGATGACACAATTGCAGATGAGAGGTTTTTAATGGACTGAAGGATGGAGGACTGTTTACTTTGGGCAAATGAAGACAGGGTGGGAATACAATCACACACAAAAAATCTGGAAGTATCTGATCTGGGAAAAAGACTGGGAAGTGTCCCAATTCCCCTTCTCGTCACTGCTGGGGAGAAAGTGCCCTCTCCCTACTTCTTTAATTTGCCTTACCCCAAAAGCATGTAACCCCCAGAATTATTCTATAAGGATTTTTTTAAATGTTCAGCCATTTAAAAAATATCATCCCATTGAAATAACGGAGGGATGATTTGATGCTGGGCATGGCACAGGATGGAGGTATGATCTGTGGGCTGGAGCAGCGTGGTCAGGCCTGAGTCCATGGTGAGACCACAGCAGTCTCACTGATAACTCGTGAGTTTTCATTGTTTTTTTAGCTTTAGTTTTAGGTAGTTATCATTTGTTGCTGTTTATATTTGGGTGGTGAGAGTATTAACTGGCTTAAGGCATTAATTTATAGTTGTGTAACAATATTGCATGAAAACATCTTTGTCAAGTCATAGTGTTCTTTTGAAGTTATGCTATCTTATCACTGGAAACATCCTTTGTAGAAGCTAAGTCATCCCTCAGTCATCCTGTGTATAGTATTGCAATCTTCTGCAATCCTTCCAAGTGAATAGGGTAAGTGAGAACAGAACCTTTCTGATTTCTCAAAGGAGGGAGATGAGACGGCTCACGTGCACCTAAACCCCTCATGTGAAGAAGTCAGTACGTGCTGGAGGATGGTGAGGGTTTAATGTTTGACCAGCATGGTTCTCAACACCAGCTGCACTTTAAAATAATCTGGAGACCTTTAAAAAAGAAATACCTGGCTTCCCTGGTGGCGTAGTGGTTGAGAGTCCACCTGCCGATGCAGGGGACACAGGTTCGTGACCCGGTCCGGGAAGATCCCACATGCCACGGAGCGGCTGGGCCCGTGAGCCATTGCCGCTGAGCCTGCGTGTCCGGACCCTGTGCTCCGCAATGGGAGAGGCCACAACAGTGAGAGGCCCGCGTACCGCAAAAAAAGGAAAGAAAGAAAAGAAAAGAAAAAGAAATACCAATGCTGGTGGGTCACCCAGACCAATTAAATCTGAACCTCTGGCGTGAGAACTGGGCACTGGTATTTTCTTAAAGCTCTGAGAACCACTGGGCTCGGAGGGTCTCTCACGCCCTTCCCTTGTTCACCTGACTTATGGATGACAGTGGAAGGGGGAAAACACTCCCAAATAGGACAAGAAGGGCACCCTGGCAAGCCTTGCTGGGAAGAGAAAGTAGAATGGCTGAAGGGCCATTGGCTTCTTCTGGTCCTACCAGCAGAAGCACCTCCACCTGACTGGCCTGTGCACAGGTCCCACCCATTGGTTTGGTTACCTCTTCTTGTCATGAGGATCTCAAGGTTCTCAGAATTCCAGGACCCAATTTCGTTCAGTCTTCCCCTGTTTTCTGTAGTCATGGATCACACCCTACCTCCTGTTAGCACGGTTATCAAGCTGGTATCACTGGGTCCAGCCGCAGAATTTCCGCTTGATCTTATGCTCGTTGGCATTTATTTATTTATTGACTCCACAAATATTCACTGCTCTAGGCCAGACACTGGCAACTGCTTTGGCACCTGGCCTACGCCAGGTAGAGAAGTAACCAGATTTGAGGTTCCACACTGGAGCCCTGAGATTATGGTGTCATCTCTCTCCCGAACCTTGGTGATTATTTCCAATGTCACACACTGGCTCCTAGGGTGCAGCCTGCTGACGCGCTGTGACAAGCTCACCTACCTCATCCATGCTCGAGAAATGGAGGCTGCTATCGACCAACATGATACACGGCCTGATACAGGCTGATACCAACAGTGCTATCCAGGGACTGGAATCTTCGTGAGCTGAGATAATAGCTAGAAAGGTCTTCTTTGATGTTAACCCTTTATTCTGGGCCGTGATTTCAAAGGAAAGGCATTATTTAGTGTAATTTCTGTCATTGAGCCTTTCCTTTGGGCTACGCAGACTGGCTTTTCTCTACCATTTCTGTCGCTGAAGAGGTCTCCATCTAAAAGACATAAATAAATGAGAGTACATTTCGTAGCTCAATATGCTCCCTTTGAGTGTACCATAGGACAGTTATTTTATGGTTGCAACAGATACCTGCCTTTAAAAATTTCCAGACCAGAGTTGATCCAATCTCATTTTATGTGGGAAGCCTCAAGCTTCAATGGGATAATTTTTTAGATAATTATTTGCCCAATATAAATTCTGGCCCTAACTGTATACATAGGTGGGATTTTTAGCCTAAAACCAGGGAAAGGTAGGATATTCCTACCTTCACAATGAAGAAATGTTTATCTCATGATAAGACTTCAGCCTTAACACCTGAACATCAGAGCATATGGCTGGCTTTGCTTTCCAACACGTGGACCAGTCTCCAAGGTTCTGCGTAAAGGTCAGCAGAAAAAACGAGTTCTTCAGAGTGAGCGTCTCTGAGTCGTGCTAACCACCCATTCCTCTAGGCTGTCTGAGCTCTAGCTGTATGTCAAGATAAATCACCTGAAAGTTACGGATCTGGACCACATTAGCGAAACTCCCCAAAGAAATATCTTCACTGAGTTACGATTTAATAAACAGCTTGCCCTTGGTGTCTATTGCAGGTCAGTGGAAGAAACGGCTGTAAGAAAATCATTTCTACATCTTCTATAAGGCACTTTCATTCTGTCTTGTCATTTATATAAAAATCAATTCAACAAAACCCCCTGAGAGTTTATTGTCAGGAGAAAACAAGTCTCTACCAAAGAACTCACAAGCTTCCCTGGTCAGACACTGAAAACTATACAACTCAACTTCTCTCTCTTTTTCCTCTAATCGCTGTGAGGAAATGTGCTTCTCTCCTCTCCCTTCTAATTTCTAGTCTTTGACCTGTTTTGATCTTATTTTCATGGTTCTAATACATGTGTCTTCATCTGTAAATGGTTAGTTGTAGAAGTGAGCTGAGGCATCCAAGCCTCAATGCTTGACCTTCCTGACTCTTAGGCTCAGGTGAGCTCTCATCTCCTCCAAGGCAGGTCCCGAGGGAGCAAGTTGGGAATCGTGTGTATATAGATAGGGTTTGGGACCACCTGCAAGAGGCTGCAGTGGAGAGTTCTAAGCGTCTTGGGAAAATTGTCCTCTGAATAGGGAGACTGAGAGACCAAACGGACCAATGTGGTAAGCAATGGAAATCCTGAAGACAAACTTGTAATCCGGTGTCTGTTAAAACCATCAGGTCTAACTGAGACTATATCGACTACTCGCACTTCTGTCTGATAAAAATGACGTTTGCTGAATTGTCCTCATAATTCAAGGTCATCAAAGCAGTACTTATTATTGGTGCATTATTTTTTGTTTCCTTCTCATTAACAAATAAAGAGAAAGAGACCAAGCTATCAGAATGTGCTGCCAGGTCAGTAGGTCCAGGGTCCAGGCTCATGTCTATTTCTAGTAACACGTAGCCCTTTTTGCAAGGGGGCTGATTGTTGCAAGTGTGGGATATCCAGGTCAGAAATATAGGTCCTCTGTAGATTTCCCACCCTTGAAGTCTCGTGGATAGAATGGAGAGGAATAAAAGGAAGGATAACCTGAAGGACATGTGCAAAACCTTGGGCAACAAAATCGAGGCAGATGGGAAGCTACCCTGGGGTAGAGGCAGAAATTTACAAGCAGGAAGTTAACTTGAAGTGAAGGCTGAATGTCATGAGAAGCAGGTAGAGCAGAGGAGCAGAGAATGGCTAGAGCTCTGGAGACTGAGAACAGAAGCTGGGGCTTGAGGGCTTGCAGAGAAGAGTTTCAGATAGGGAAGGGAGAAGTAATTGCCAAAGGAAAAAAGATGCTGGATAGAGATACTAATAAAAAAAATCAACAAAGATCAATACACATGACTCAGGCAGGTAAGAGCAGGAAAAGGATCCCCACCGAGCAGGTAGGCGTAGGTTCTGGGGCATCTCTTTAAAACTGAATCAGTAAAATTCATCGTGGCAAGCTGTAAGACTATTTGAACTGTGTGAGTTCTGACTTAGACCCGAATCCAGGTTTCTATATAGACCCGACAGGACCTTCAGGTTGGAAGAAAACAGGATTATTAATGGAGATCAAGAGTACTTTGGGACATCAAATGGTTCTTACAAAATGGCCTTTTGATTTGCTACATATAAATGAATCAGAAACACACGATAAAATTTGTCTCGAAGCACATAGATGTTTTTAAAGAATTAAGACTGGAAAGCGCTGACGCAATGCATTTGGCCATCTGATGAAGAAAAGAATTGGAAAATAGGGTTTGAGCCCTTCTGCTCAACCCAAACCACTAACGGGATCTTGTATTCCTACTTTGTCATTTTGGGGGTGAGATTTCTGTTGTCCCTCAGTGACCATATTTTGTTACCTTTTCTTCACTGAATGACTCACTCTAACATCAGCCTGAAAAGTTTTTAAAACTTCCTCATAGGTTTCTTAATCTGAGACTAGATCAGGGACATTGCCTTAATCTCTGCCCAGTTTAACAGTTTGTAGCTTTCCCCGCATCGCTTAGAAATGGTACCTGCAATGAACTGCACTTGCCCCATCCTTCTGTGATACACTGATTATGCGAGTGGCTTTTGGTCATGCGTCTGGTGGCAGAGGCAGAGATGGGTAGGACCCAAGGGCCCCAAAGCTCAGCTGGCTGCCTCCCCCTGTCTTTCTAGGGAGGGATGCTGAGGCATGAACAGCGTTGGCCTAGAGCTCTGTCTCCAAATGTGAAATCCCTGGTCCTGGTGATTTGGGCAGAACTATGGACATATGAACACTAAGCCCTCCTTCTGTCCATGCACTTGGGCTTGAGGGGAAAACATCTCTCTTCACCCCAGTTTCCTAGACCTGCGCCATCCATTAGAAATATAATGTGAGTCATAAATGTGAGCCCATATGCAACTGTATTTCCTAGTAGCAGCTGAAATTGATTTTAATGTTTTGCTTAATCCAATATATCTAAAATATTACCATCTCAACATTTAATCAATGTTAAACATTTATTAATAAGAACTTTTACATTTTAAAATTTGTATTAAGTCTTTGAAGTCCTGTGTGTATTTTCCACCTAGAACCTGCATTTCAAGTACTCACTGGCCACTTGAAGTCCCAGACAGCACAGTTCTGGGACTACATTTTAATGCTGGCCTTGATGTTGTATCACTGAAGACAGAAAGTATAAGAAGTTGAATTAAAAGAGTGAAGAAGCTAAGGAAAAGGAATTTCATTCCTTTAAGAAATGTTTCTCAGGGACTTCCCTGGTGGTCCAGTGGTTAAGACTTTGTCTTCCAATGCAGGGGGTGTGGGTTTGATCCCTGGTGGGGAGCTAAGATCCTGCATGCCTCTGGGGCCAAAAAGCCAAAACATAAAACAGAAGCAATATTGTAACAAATCCAATAAGACTTAAAAACAAAAGAAATTTCTCAGAGTGTAACCTACAAATTTTCTGTGTCAAAATCACCTATGATACATTTTGTTTTTTAATAAAAATGCAGAGTCCTGGGTTTGACCCTAAATCTACATAATCAGAACCTCTAAGCTGGGCCCTAGGAATCTGCATTTGTAAAGCTCCTGGGCTCATTCTCTTGTACACTTACTCCTCTGGTGCCCAGAAGAGAGGTCACACACGGGGGCTGCTCTCCTCACACAGCAGCTGTATTTACTTTGTCCCTAAAGTGTTTTTACATTTTTGCCATTGTTTTAAAATCAGGAACACACACACACACACACACACACACACACACAGATTTTTTGGATGCTTTTGAAAACTCAGAAAATCTATAAACTGCGGCCTGCATTTCCACCTGGCAACAACTGGCTAGAGGTGACCAGTGGGCATTCCTAGAGACAAGAGCTGGCCAGTTTGTGACTGTCCCAGTTTGGCCCATTTCATCCCTCCAAGTTACATGCTAGCCCCCAAAGACTTTTAACATTTAGGGTTACAGCAATTTTATACTTAAAGAAAAATTGCAGCAATAGGTCAGAGATTTCCCATACCCTCTTCACTCAGCTCCCCCTGGTGTTAACAGCTTCCGTAACTGCCATGCCTTCGTCAAAACTAAGACCTTAACATTGGTGTAAGACTATTAACTAGACTGCAGACTTGATTCGGATTTCACCATTTCTTCCACTTTTCTGTTCCAGGATCCAATCTGGGATTCCGCATTGCATTGAGCTCCGTAGCCTTTTCAGTTGACCATCCCCGGTCTAGCGCAGCGGTCCTTAGCTGTCCACTGCATGCCTCCTCTCCACTGGCCCTTACCCAGGTCCTGTCAGGCCCTCCAGGGTTAGGTGACTTTTCCCAAATGCTAGGCGACCCCAGACACACTTTCATGCCACCAGCTGCACTGGCCCTGCAATAACAGCTAGACCTGCAAATGAAAGCACGATCTTGGCACGTGCAGTGTGGAAAGAAGTCTTCCCGACAGGGGCTGACGGGCCCACCCACACTCACTAATGGCAATGCCAGGGGCGCCACCTTCTAATAAGTAGGGCAGCTGTATGATTTATCTGGGAAGATTATTACATGTCTATTGTGTTCAGGTGGGACCAGAGGTGCTGGATTTGTGGCCACACACCTTTGTATGCAGGTACCTTTTCCAAAGAGTTCCTGAGCCCAGGGTCTCTTTGGTGTGTGGAAATGCTTAAATATCTGAATCTCCCATCCTAGTAGTGAAATTTAGACATATAGAGCTTTCACTTTCTTTTCTGGCTCTGCTGAACATGTAAATGTTCTTTCAGTCCAGTAGGACTAAACCCCTCGAGAAGGTGCTTTTATTTCTTGGCCAACCTTTCCTCGAGCAGTATTCCAATTCTGCAGTGCCCGACACCACTAACTAGCATATATGCTGATTTGCCTGAAATGCAAGAGCAAATCCAATCAACAAATCCAAGAGGAATAGGCTGGAACACAGCCATTCTTCCAGGTGGAAATATCTTTCTGTTAGACATGCTTCTTGTACTCTTCATGCCCTGTCCTCCATTTGCACATATAATCCATGGCCTGACCGGGGGAATTTGGAGTCTCATAAATCCATCTTCACAAGGTCTGGGGGGCAATGGCTAACGCGATCAAAGACTTTTTTTTTAAATCTTTATCATTTCCAGGGCTGTCTCCCTCTGATTCTGACACCTGAAATAATTCAATAGGCAATTTAAAGGAAAAGCTTTTTGCACACAGTGAAGAAGTTCTGGAAAGGAAGCCAGTTAAGATCCCATAAAAGCCAAGACTCAAACAAACCAAAATAACTCAAGGCTATCAGTGGGCTAGTGTGGGCTACCGGGACAGTGCAACAAAATGTCTTCTATCTGAAGCAGCTGTTAGTGCAAACCCAGAGTCACTCAGTTTCCTGGATGATTGGCAGTTTAACCACTGGGTTTTGTTGTATCTTAAAGGAGACAAGACCTCCCAAGAATGAATGTACTGTTTGTAGACAACACTCTGCCTTTTAAAAGCATCAGTTCACTTCCAGTTTACTGGTTGGTACTTGTTCATCCTTAAAAGGTCAGCTCTACCTTGCACAAGACAAGGAAATTACCTTAGAAAATAACAGCTCAGATTTGTAAGAGTCTTGGGTTTTCAAAATACTTTCAAATCTATGATTCCACTCTATTCTCTCAGTGGCCTTGATTGGGGGATAAGATGTAGGATAAGTATTATCATGATCTGTCAGAGGAGAAACTTCATTCCTAAGAGGCATTAAGTAACTTTCCTAAAGTCATACACCTTCCTAGCAACAGTCAGTCTGGAAATAGAAAAACTAGGTTTGTCTCAAGACTTCTGAGCGCTATTCTTCTGTCATGGTGCCCGTGGGCCCCTTGGGCCCTTGTGATTTCTCCCTTCTTCCTAGCAAAAGGCCTCACTTGGGACATTTAAAGGTGTCACCCATTCTAGAGCTATTTGTATCTTAATGAAATTCAGAACTTTAAACTGAAGCTACAACAGTAGAATTCATAGCAAGTCAGAGAGTAGAAAGGGCCGCTCTTCATTCAAGGAGTCAGGATAATTCTGACATGATGCAGACATGCTTGTTGTTAATCTTCCAGAACTGGATTTCAGTTCCAAAGTCAGGCTCAGTTTCCAAAGTCAGGGTCGGCGACGAGTCCTGATTAATGAGCTTCTTAGACGTGCGAAATCAATTAGATCAAAGAAAATTAATTGTCCAAGGAGTCTATTGATTCCAAGCTAGTCTTTGTTTTATTTTTACTAGCTGGACAAAATCATTATACCATTGCTAAATAAATAAACAAACAAACAAATAAAAGTATTTTAATTTTCTGCTAAAATAAAAACTTAATGGTTCTACTCTAATTCCAAAAACAATGCTTCCTAAACCAAACAGTCAGAGGGTGTTGAATTTGAGAGAAAAAGAGAAAGTACCAGAACTTGAATACATTTTGCTCTCACATTAATTCATTGTTAGAGAAATTTCCCAATGTCTGCCTACCTCCCTCTCCCTAGGGGTTTCCCATGGGTCCTCATTTTCCCAAGACCTCCCAGCACCTGAGGTCCCACTGATCTCTCTTCCTCCCAGCAGTGTCTTTGGGACCTTGGGGGAGGGGTGGTGCCTTGCATCTTGCCTCCAGAAGTTAGTTGCCCTCATGTGGTTTGCATGTGTTCATAATGACACGCTCAGAGTGTGTCAGCCAGTACCATCTGGGGTGCCTCGTGCAGTGTCTGGGAGCCCATGACAACTCAATCTCAGGCCAGAGGATGGGGAAATATATTGGATGATTACAATTCCCTTTCAGGCAGAGAGACTCTCTGGCATTAGGGTGTCCACATCTGCTAAATCCATTACAGTCTCTGTTTCTCATGAGTATTACAATAAGAATAGTCATCAATCTGGCTAAATCACAGCTTCTTTCTGGCCACTATTCTCTGGTCTGATCTAGTCTGTACCTAACCACATGTTAGGGTGCATCAGTCTCTAGTGAGAGCTGCTGGCCAGTCTTCTGCCTGCTTATGTTGGAAAAGTCAAACCAGGCCACTTGGTACTGAATTAACAGTCCCTGAAAAGTCCGAGGCCTCATACCATCCTAGGGGCTAATTGCTGGGGAAAGGACCTGTATCCTGAATTCAACGCATCTGGCCCCTAAGCACTTAATGTCTGTAACCAAGACTTCTCAATCTTTAGAATGCATAAGAATTACCTGGAGAGTTGGTTAAAACACCATTCTTGAGCCCCGTTCCCCATGAATTCGGATTCAGTGGGTCTGGGGAGGCACCTGGGTATCTGGTGACCACACTTTGAGTAGCACTGTTCTATCCCCTTGCAATGAAAAGTGTGGTCCCCATACCACCAGCATTGCTATCACCTGGGAGCCTGTTAGAACTACAAGTACTACGGTGCCACCCAGGTCCACTGAATCTGAATTTATTTTTTAATAAGGGCATTCTTTGCACCTTAAAGTTTGACATGCACTGGTCTATACCATTCATTTAGTGCTGAACACGGAGTGGCATATCATGGACTTGGAAAGATCCTTAGTTCAGATGCTCTAGGTCCTTGCCTTCAAAATGGTAGGTTATTAATTCTATATTGCTTTGATTTATCAACTTTCTATGGATATCTGTGCCTTTCACCTAAATTGTAATAACCTCAAAAGGCAGTGGCCTTGTCTTAAAATCCTTGCATATAGTAGGCACGTATCAAGCATTTGTGACGATATTGCATAGCCATCTCATAAAAGGAAGGTATGGTCTCTGTTTCATTCACAAAGAAAGCTGTATCCCCAGCTGTGATCTGTTTAGTTTTTCATGTAAATTTACAAAACAGAAAGTTGAAGAACAATCTCAGATTTAGTGTCTGAACTCTCACTGGCATAACACCCATGTTCTGAGGCTGTGTTTATGGGGAAGGTAGCTACAGTAAATAAAGAGTTGGCTGGGAAGCCCTTGTTCCTCTCAATTCCAACCAGTATCGTATTTGAAAAGGTTTACTTCAAGGAATGATGTAAACTCCAAATCAGGAGAACTTTAAAAACAAACAAACAAACCAAACCCCACTTGAAAACAGTAACTGATTTTGTCATCAGTCATTTCAAATAGACTAGACTATCATTCTTTGGGCATTTTGATAAAGAATGAAGGCCTCATCAAACCTTAATTCTTGAATCAGAAATACCTTCCAATGCTAGCTGGCTTGCTCTCACCCAAAGCTGGAAACTTAGCTCTTTCATGCCCCTGAGAGCTGGGAGTGGGAGGAAAGGAAGACATATTCAACAACAAATATTTACTGGTTGCCTACCAGGATTCAGTGTGGTCCACAGGCCAGCAGTAGCAGCATCACCTGGGAGCTTGCTGGAGATGTAGAATGTCAGTTCCCAGCCCAACCTACTGAAACAGAATCTGCATCTCAATGATTTGTATGCACATTGAGGTGTGAGAAGAACTGGCACAGAAGACCTCTATAAGGACAGGATGCAACATTAAATCCAAGACCTCAGTGATAAAAAGAAGGCACCTGCTATCTGGCTGGTCAGGGGCTGAGCCATCAAGCACAGGAAATACAGTTTATTGGCCCAAGACATAAGTGGGGAGAATAGAAAGAAGGCCAGTGTGATTGGAGCCTGGCAGGAGAGGGGCAGATGGTAAGAGTAGTGAAAATCATAAACAGGAGGCTGATCTATCCTTCAAGACGGAGCCTATCCTTCCTTGAAAGCATTGTTGGGAGCTTGGATTTTTTTTTGAGAGCAGAACAAGACGCCGGATAGTCTTCAAGCAGGGAAGAATCATGATCTGATTCAGATTTGGGACATGTATTTTTTTTTTTTTGCGGTACACGAGCCTCTCACTGTTGTGGCCTCTCCCATTGCGGAGCACACGCGCAGGCTCAGCAGTCATGGCTCACGGGCCCAGCCGCTCCGCGGGATGTGGGATCCTCCCGGACCGGGGCACGAACCCATGTTCCCTGCATCGGCAGGCGGACTCTCAACCACCGCGCCACCAGGGAAGCCCCTGGGACATGTTTTTGAGATAAAAATTCCCAGGCTTAGTTGGTGAATTGGATGTGGGGTAGGGCTTCAGCAAGTGGGGTATGAGGAGAGAACTTGAGAATAATTCCTTGACTTTTGGAAGATTATGAAACAATGGGTAATAATAAGTCAAATCCATTTCCCCTGCTTTCACTAATCAAGTTCCTTTGAAGACTTGCCTGTCCTCCAAGAGGCAGGTGGCCTAGACAAGAAAATGTTTGCCTGAGTTGTTTTCCAGGAATTGGAGTCAGCTGTGTCTGGTTGGAGCTGAGCTGGATAAGACTGGAGAGGACCACGACCCTCCAACTGGGCATGTGTGAGTGTCCGCTCCGAGACCTTCTGACGTCAGAAACTGAAACGAGGCTGAAAACTCCACCCTCAGGGCGTGCTAAGCACCTCCATTTAGAACCTGCAGAGGCCTGGAGCTTAGTTACCCCTGAGCAGAGTGATATTATTGCACCTCTCCCCAAGGTCCCCACGCCTGAGCCCACACTGCTTCTTTATTCGTTATTCTATAAATACCCGTAGTCCCTTGCCTTTGCGGAGGCAGCTGTGAATCTTGTTCTGCAGTCCTCTTGGTTGTTGCCTAAACCGTGGCATCTCAACGTCTTAGCTTGCTCTCCAATAGACAGAACAAATCTGCTCACAGCGCTACTTGCTAAGATGGGGAATACGAGAAGAAGAGAGTGTTGGGGGAGGCGAGGGTGAGGGGTGGAGTGGAAAGTTAAACTTCAGAGGCTATGAGGCATCCACGTGGAGAGGGGGCTCGGCAGTTAGAGCAAATCTGAGGAGGACGGCAGAGCAGGCCCGGAGGCGTGTTTGGAATCTCTAGACTCTCAGATGCCAGCCATGCTGTCTTCAATTTCAAGTTGTAGGCAAAGGGCCCTTCGGCAGAATGTCAGAAAACAAGTTCTAGTGATGTTGAGTCATTTTCCATATTATCCTCAGTGTCCTGTGAGAATACAGAAGCTCCGCCTTTTCAGAGAGCCATGAAACCAACAATCCCAGTGCTTGGGGGTCACTCGGAAGTGAACAGAGGTGGACTGAGAATGCAATGTTCTGAAATCCTGTTTATCCTTAATTGATGTGTCACTCCCCTAAGTATGATTATTCACTCTCCCAGACCAAAGCAAATTCGAACTGTGACCTTGTTTATTGTTTGCCTCTCCTGCTAGCATGGCGGCTGCATGCGACCAGCTCTTACCCCGCCGCGGGCATGTAGTGAACGCTCAGAAGTCGTCCTTGAATAAGAGGATGGGAGTGGGGGAAGGTTTTTAGAGACAAATACAGCAAGACAGGGATATGGAAAGGTCTGACATCTAGGAAATCATTAGAAAAACTGGTAGAGCTCAATAGATCTAAGACCCCCCAAGACATTTACCTAGGAATTTTCCCAGCGCAGCTCCTAACTCCCCAGGCCCTGACGTCATTGCTTTATCCGTCATGCGGTAAAATTATACACGCTGACGTTGATGACACTGAGTCATCAGGAAGAAGCTGAAATATGTTCAGTCACTAGATTAAAAACAAAAAGTCAAGGCATATGAAATCTTTAAAGTCAGTTTTTTCAAAATAATGGCTAAGATGTATATTTTGGACCTGAAGTCTTAGGATAACCCAACAACACATATACATGGAAAACTTTAGCACCGATTGATACTATCTGCATAAAAGAGACAAAACTGCACTGTTCTTCATAAACAATTACCTTCTGCAAACTCTAGTGGTTTTGTGATGACTACATGGTTCTAATTACCTATAACATCACTGAAGACGAGCAAGACTTTTCTGGAAAAATTACAGACTCTTGCTTCGTGCTAAGGAGGGCATTTTCCTTCTGAACATAGTTACCACTGCAAGCAGAAGGCGGCTGGAGGTATCTGCAGGAGAGTAAACAAAAGCGAACCACCACCTGAGGATAGATGAAGGGATAGAATCCATGTGTGTAATTACCACTTGGAAAGCCTGCTGGTTATTGACGGGGCTGAGACACCAGGAGCACAAGCTGTATTCCTGTAGGTCTCAGTGTGGAGCAAACCCACCTGTGCCTCGTACACCATGGGTAGCCAGTAAACAGGAGAGAACAGATAAAGATACATTTCTGTCCTACATCCTTTGGAAGGGTGAGGAGTACAGGTGGGATCTCGGACGCCTTCAGTCCTGTGAGCTTTTCCATCTGTAAGGGACCCGAATGGGTATGTTAAGATGGCCATCTCTGAAGAAACTACCTAAGCCTTTGGCGTTGTGGAAGTGTTGGTGCTGAGTTTGGGATGGTGGTCTAATGTCAGGTTGGCACAAACGAAACGAAGGTCCTCTCCAAAGATGTTTACTAAGTTCTTTTCCTCAATAGCATTAGGCACAACACACACACTCTTCCGAGGGCTGAGACCACGTTCTGCTGCAGGAAATCTAGGCTGTGCTTGGGGGCTGAAGGTGAGATATGGGTTTGAGAAGCAGCTGCTCATTTCTGCTGATCTGACCTCGTGACAGTAGTTGTGAGACAATTTGGAAAGAAAAATGTTTGAGATTCAGGCCCATTGCACAGCATGGGGATGTGTTTCCCCAACATCCCTGTCAGGCAGCATTGGGTACAAGCACCACCTAAAAAATGCACATAACATGCAGTTCAGAATGACGACTTCCCTAGCCACAGTGACTCACTTAAATCAAAAATAGAATCTCAGGCTTCCCTGGTGGCGCAGTGGTTGAGAGTCCGCCTGCCGATGCAGGGGACGCGGGTTCGTGCCCCGGTCCGGGAAGATCCCACATGCCGCGGAGCGGCTGGGCCCGTGAGCCATGGCCGCTGAGCCTGCGCGTCCGGAGCCTGTGCTCCGCAACGGGAGAGGCCACAACAGTGAGAGGCCCGCGTACCGCAAAAAAAAAAAAAAAAAAAAAAGAATCTCGAGAAGAACTACATCTAGGGGGAAAAGATCTGTCAACTCCCAATAAAAGAGGCCCACTGGAGCATGAGCTCTAATCATAATAAAAGGTAATGATAATCCCCAGTAAAACTTTATAGAGAACTTCTGTACTAGCACAACGTTAAAGCACCTTAACGGACCATCTTCTCTAAACTCCATGGCCCCATGCGGAAGGTACCATGAGCTCTCCACTGGCAGCTGGGGAGACTGGGAGACAGGTGGAAGGCTCCTGCGGCAGTTTAGGTGAGAGGATGGTAGCTAGCAGAGTGGGTGGTGAGGCTTAGAGAGACTGAGACTTTCCTAAGGTCGCAGGACAGCGGCTGGTAGAAGCAGCAAGTGCTACGACGGCCTCCCTGTGCGGGGCCTGGGCTGGGCTCATGGTGGGCTCCATGATTGTATATTGAATGGGTCAGGCCCCCACCCCTCCCCCCAAGCCCATCCCTAAGCCCACTGAAGCTAAATAAAGTGAAATATGGAAGCCAGGCAATTAACAGGGCAAAGAGAGCCTTTTCAATTCTTCTCGTCACAGCTGGACCAAAACGTCAAGTTTGATACACATCAGAATATGGTGCTTTGAGTATTAAAATACCTCCAGATACACAGACATGTCTTTACGGCTACTCGGGGGAATAGAAGTTTGATAAGAGAGAGCCACCACGCCCAGGAGGAAAAAAAGTCTGAAACTCTAAACTTTTGTGAAATTGGCTCAGAGACAAATGTCAGTATTTTCACCTCTTTTCCCATATGGCAGGAGGCATTTCACACTACTTTCCATAATAAATCTGGTAAGTGATATGAGTACTCTGCATGCCAAGAGACATATAATATGTGTATCAAAATAGATGTCTAGGTTGGCTTGTGACATGAACCAGATTTCAGCAACTGAAGTGAACAAATCTGGCCTGGCTCTGGCCCAGTCAATGGGTGCACAAGATCCAGGATCTCTTTCTGCTTATTTTCTTTTTTCCTTAATTTTTTATTAATGTTTCTCTTAGGTTTGTTTATTCTCTAAAAACCTCTGACCATCTTGATCATTTCTTCTTATTAGCAAACCCTTCATCACTTACCGCCTTACTGGGCATTGTTTCCAGCTGATGGTAAGGACAGGAAGACCCAGGAATTTACTCCATCCGATCAATATTTAGTGAGCTCCAGCTCTGGGCCAGGAATTGTTTTAGGTACTAGGGACACTGTGGGCAAAAGAAAACTCCCTGCTCACACAGAAAGGCTGACAATAAACAAATGAACAAACTCATGCAATATGTCAAGTGATGATAAATAATATAAAGAAAACAGGGCAGGATGGATAGGGAGTGACTGGGGGTATCAAAGGCCTCCGTGACAAAAATGCCATTTTACCAGAGACTACAAGGAAATAAGGGAGCCATGCTAGTGAGAGAGCACGGCAAGTGCCAAGGCCCTGGGGTAGACTTGTTCATAT